GTACTTAAGTACGGCTAGACTCGCAGTCTAGCCGTACTTATTCTTAATATGATGGCTAGACTCACCATTTACAAAAAATAGGCCTACTGAATTGTAAATATACATTTTTAGTATGCAGTACCTAAAGTATTTGTATTTGAGACGAAACCAGGTGCCTTAATGAAAGTGCATGTATTTTAAACCTCCTGTTTTCTAATGTTAATAGGGCCTAAGATAAGTACGGCTAGACTTAATATTGATGGCTGAATTGTAAATGAAATTTTTAGTTTGCAATGCCTAAAGTATTTGTATTTCAGACAAAACCAAAAGGTGCCTTACTGACTTGCATGTATTTGAACCTGAATAATTACTAGATCTAGATCTGAGACCTGTGTACTTAACAGGCTTGAGTCGATAGGGCCAAACCTAGATCTAAGTACGGCTAGACTGGCAGTCTAGCCGTACTTAAGTACGGCTAGCCACTTCGCGATATGAATACCGCGGGAGTGTATTAACCGATGATGAAAATAACGCCTATCCTTCATAGCTTTCTATTTATAATGTGTTACAAACACATGAATAACCCCCTCTCACAAGCTGATAAGACATTACGAGTAGTTACGCCCATTTGAATAACCTTTCTGGACGCTCTTGTTGTTATGAATGACCTGAGGTTCGAAAGGGGATAATTTAGGTCAATTTCCGAATGTTTTACACTCAAGAAATTGTTCTTTGTACCTCTGCACAATGGTATTCAAAACTATCAAACAAGCTTATTTTTTATCAGGTAGTATCATTTCATACAAAATCAAGCTCATTTGAAATATTTTGTGTATAGAAAAATGGAAGTCTTGTTTCCTGACAAGACTCTAGATCTAGATCTATCCTTTCGAGCTCCTCATGTCTAAGAAGTGGGTCAATTTCTTCTATAATTTAATTGGACGCTTTTTCGTCTGTTACCCCAGGCGGGCCTGGCCGCCATCTTGTATCGGTAGTAATCGGGCGGTGTTTCTACCTGTTCTGTTCAGTAATCGATAGGCCTAAAGAGTCGAGCATCGTCGTCTAGGCCTAGATTGAACCAAATAAAAATTAAATGTATTTTCTCAATGCTGTTAGTGTTTGTTGTTATTGATTTTGTTAACGTTGTTGTGCCTTTGTTGTGTTTTTGTTTTGTTTTGTGTTATTTCTCACTTTTAAAAAGAGAGAAAGAGGGATTGAAGAGAGAGAGAGAGAGAGGGGGAGGGAGAGGGAGAGAGAGAAGGATCGTAGAGAGAGAGAGAGGGATCGAAGAGAGACAGTTAAAAGAGAGAGAGAGAGAAAGAGAGAGAGAAAGAGAGAGAGAGAGAGGGGGGGGGAGAGGGAGAGAGGGGAGATGAAATGACAGTCAACGATATTTAAAAGAGAGACAGACGTAATTAAGAGAGAGAGAAAGAGAGGTGTAAGATTATTTGAACAGCCCCCGGACAATAAGTGCTTCTTAAAATTGTCTGGTGTCATGCACGTGTTCGCCGGGTTCGTGTAGGTGACAGACAGGCAGACGAGAGAGTGGTCGCTTGGAAAACCACGTGGTTGAGCGCTCTACCCTTCTATGGGTAACAAATTTTCTCTTGTCTGTTCCCGACAATTATGTTGGTAGAGAGCAAACAGCCTATGCCTACTTTATTTTACGTGTGTTTATGTGCCTTTAAGGTTAATCAAGTGCAGCTGATCAGTAGACTAGATATATCCTTAATTTAAAAAAAAACAACCCTAGCGTGCTGTGTATCACATGCCTAAACAGTACATGTGTACCTAGCTATTACGCTTTTCGAGTGACTTTCAGAAGCCATTAAAATTTTAATTTTCGTCACTTAAACCACTCGCCCAATCGTGTTTGTGGACTGTCAAAAAGGTGTGAAAAATGCTGTCCATCACTCTCTTTGTTCTTCTGGGGAGAGAGAGAGAGAGAGAGAGAGAGAGAGAGAGAGAGAGAGAGAGAGAAAGAGAGAGAAAGAGAGAGAGAGAGAAGGATCGGAGAGAGAGAGAGAGAGAGAGAGAGAGAGAGAGAGAGAGAGAAATGATTTAAAGAGAGAAAGAGGGATTGTCGGGAACAGACAAGCCTAAACGGTACATGTGTACCTAGCTATTACGCTTTTCGAGTGACTTTCAGAAGCCATTAAAGCATGGCTACGGCAACATGGACTTTTGGCCACAACGAAAGCTTGCAACGTCTGTGGGCATGCCACCAACCAGATTCGGGATGGCAAGAGAAGTGATGGGTGGAGGTGGAGGTGCCAGAATAGAGCCTGCAGAAAAGATGTGTCGATCAGGGATGGGAGCTTTTTCGGTACTGATTCGAAACTGGAGCTTAAGCAAGTTCTGGACTTGCTCTACTGCTATGCCTACGAAACCGCATCGGTCCAGAACTTGGCCAGGGAATGCAGGATGGCTTCAGAAGCGATCGTAAACTGGAGAAACTACGTGCGAGACATTTTTGCGGAATACTTTATCCGACACCCGTTGACCATTGGTGGCCCTGGCCACGTGGTTGAAATTGACGAATCTGCCTTCGTTAAGAGAAAAGGCAATGTTGGAAGGAGAGTGAACACTCAATGGGTTTTTGGTGGCATTGACGTGCATACGAAGCAGGGATTTCTTGTAGCAGTTCCCCAACGTGACGCAGCAACCCTACTACCAATTCTGCAACGTTACGTTCTGCCCGGAACAACTGTCGTATCCGACCTATGGGCAGCGTACAACACTGTCCACACTCTGGGATATCGACATTTAACGGTCAACCACAGCCTCCACTTTGTGGACCCTCACACCCACGCAACCACCAACCACGTGGAATCCATGTGGAGTCGGGCAAAGCAAAGAAACAAGCGAGAGTGTGGCACCTTCCGAACCCAGCTGGATTCGTATCTAATAGAATTTATGTGGAGGCAGCAATTTAACAATGACCCTTTCGAAAACCTGCTGGCTCACATCAGGGATGTGTACCCACTGTAAAAAAAATCTGCTAGCGTTATTTTGTATACCTATGTACCTGTATATTTGTGTGTGAGTGTTTGTGTATTATGTGTTTATATGTGTATATGTATATATTATTATATGTGTGTGCAAGTGTATGTGTATATTGTGTGAATATTTGTATAAATATGTGCGTGAGTGTTTGTGCATTATGTGTTTATGTGATATGTATATATGTGTGTGTGTGCAAGTGTGTGTGTATATTGTGTGAATATTTGTATATATGTGTGTGGGTGTGTATGTGAAAACAAAAACATCATAATTATCGGAGTTCAATAAAATGTTAATGGTACCGGTATGCATTTCACAACTCTCTCTTTTAACTGCCTCTAATTATCCCTTTGTCCCTCCACTCTGCCTCTCTCCCTATCTCTCTCTTCGATTCCTCTTTCTCTCTTTAAATCATTTCTCTCTCTCTCTTTCTCTCTCTCTCTCTCTCTCTTAATTATGTCTGTCTCTCTTTTAATTATCTTTGACTCTCTTTTAATCACCCTCTCTCTCTCTCTCTCAACTGTTTCTCTTGTAATAATCTCTCTCTCTCTCTCTCTCTTAAAATACTAACTGTCTCTCTTCTCTCAACTCTCTCTTCCTTTTAACTGTCTCTCTCTTTTAATTATCTCTTTCTCTCTCCACCCCCTCCTCTCCCCCCCCTCTCTCTCAACAGTTATCGATCCCTCTTTCTCTCTTTAATTAAATCATCTGTCGCTCTTTCTCTCTCTCTCTCTCTCTCAACTGTTTCTCTTGTAATAATCTCTCTCTCTCTCTCTCTCTCTCTCTCTCTCTCTCTCTCTCTCTCTCTCTCGCTCTCTCAACTGTTTCTCTTGTAATAATCTCTCTCTCTCTCTCTCTTAAAATACTAACTGTCTCTCTTCTCTCAACTCTCTCTTCCTTTTAACTGTCTCTCTCTTTTAATTATCTCTTTCTCTCTCCCCCCCCTCCTCTCCCCCCCCCTCTCTCTCAACAGTTATCGATCCCTCTTTCTCTCTTTAATTAAATCATCTGTCGCTCTTTCTCTCTCTCTCTCTCTCTCAACTGTTTCTCTTGTAATAATCTCTCTCTCTCTCTCTCTCTCTTAAAATACTAACTGTCTCTCTTCTCTCAACTCTCTCTTCCTTTTAACTGTCTCTCTCTTTTAATTATCTCTTTCTCTCTCCACCCTCTCCTCTCCCCCCCTCTCTCTCAACAGTTATCGATCCCTCTTTCTCTCTTTAATTAAATCATCTGTCGCTCTTTCTCTCTCTCTCTCTCTCTCAACTGTTTCTCTTGTAATAATCTCTCTCTCTCTCTCTCTCTTAAAATACTAACTGTCTCTCTTCTCTCAACTCTCTCTTCCTTTTAACTGTCTCTCTCTTTTAATTATCTCTTTCTCTCTCCACCCTCTCCTCTCCCCCCCTCTCTCTCAACAGTTATCGATCCCTCTTTCTCTCTTTAATTAAATCATCTGTCGCTCTTTCTCTCTCTCAACTTTCTCTTACTTGTACCCCCCCTCTCTCTCTCTCTCTCTCTCTCTTAATCTTAATTATGTCTGTCTCTCTTTTAATTATCTTTGACTCTCTTTTAATCACTCTCTCTCTCTCTCTCTCTCTCTCTCTCTCTCTCTCAACTGTTTCTCTTGTAATAATCTCTCTCTCTCTCTCTCTCTCTCTCTCTCTCTCTCTCTCTCTCTCTCTCT